TATAGAGTAATTCTGTACTTCATTTTCCATGAGGAAAAGAAGTTTAATTGAGAGTGACAAGGTTGATGATGACAGAATATGTTCCGTTGGTCATGGCAGTTCCCATAGAATGGGGATCATAAGACTCTATGATGACAGAGATTATAGGAAGTTTTGTTCTAAATTTTCTTTCAAGTCTGATCTGTACAAGCTTAATGTGATATTGGTGATATTTCTTCGGATTCAGACAATGATTTGACCTACAAAAGTATGGAAATGCTCTTAAAAAGAATTAAAGGTAAAATCGTTTCAGCATCCTTCTCTACCAAGAAAAACATTTTACCTTTAATTCTTTTTAAGAGCATTTCCATACTTTGTCGGTCAAATCATTGTCTGAATCTGAAGAAATATCATCAATATCATATTAAGCTTGTACGGATCAGACTTGGAAGAAAGTTTAGAACAAAACTTCCTATAATCTTTGTCATCATAGAGTCTTATGATCCCCGCTTTATGGGAACTGTCATGACCAACGGAAAACATTCCGTCTTCATCAACGTTGTCACTATCAATCAAACTTCTTTTCCTCTTGGAAAGTGAAGTAGAGAATTCCTCTATAACCTCTTTTATCTACTTAGGAAATGTTAAATCCTACCTATACCATCACTATTTTGAAACACATGTCGTTGCCTTCTCATTATCATTGTAGCTATAGAGATCAACAATTGATCAAAGACACACCCTGTCAGGTACTGTATCCAAGTTATTCTCTGTATCCAAGTTCATCCCGAGTAATAGTACCACGAGGATAATCACCAACGCCACCAGATAGCTTTATGATGTCAATGAAGCAAGATGAGCTATTCAATAAAACTCGTATTGTAAAGAAGAAGAAAGAGACTGATTTAGAAAGGAGGGTCGAGCCTCGACTATATACATGTAAGTTTTTTACTTTTCATTAAGTATTTTGATTTACTTTTATATAAATTTTAAAATACTAATTCAATATATATAATTTTTCATATAGGTTCGCTTCACATGTAGCTAACATGGGGGAATTCATATGCAGTCAACCACCTAATGAATCGGACGAGGCAATCCAACTTTCGGACGAGGATGCTGAAAGAACACTCCTTGAGTACTTTATATACTTTGAACTAGACAAAAAAAATTTAGTTCTATTGTGTTAGTTCTTTTTAATTCGAATGGGCTTGTAATAAGCGTTAACTTAGTTTTGTTAGCTTAATGTGTTAGTTCTATTGATTGTTGCTTTTAATTATTGTTGTTGTTGTTGTTGCTGGCATAAAATGCCTGTTTAGGATGTTTGGTAAGCTGGCAGGTGGTGTAGCAAACAGGCAGTTTCTGCCAAAAATATACCAAGAAAAGCGACCAACTTTGGTCTCTATTTGATCGCATTTCACTATAAAAAAAAAAATCTGGGCAATAGCGACCAACCTTGGTCGCTACCTGCCCAGATTTCTATTAAAAAAATACAATTTCTGGAAATATAGCGACCAATGTTGGTCGCTCATCTTTAAAAAAAAAATTAAATTCTTGAATTTAGCGACCAACTTTGGTCTCTATTGTCCAGATTTTAAAATATAATATTTGGATTAGAGACCAAAGTTGGTCGCTTTCTAATGATTAATGATAAATTAAAAACAACGTATTTCATATGTAGAGACCAACTTTGGTCGCCAAATTTATATTATTAAATTAATATAGCGACCAAAGTTAGTCACTAAAGTCAAAATCAGAATATTTGGTCCTTTTACCTTAGAGACCAAAGTTGGTCGCTAATTAGCGACCAACTTTGGTCCCTAAAATAATGGGACCAGCAATATTGCGACCAGGCATGTTTGGTCGCTTTTAGGCCTATAAGCGACCAACTTTGATCGCTTTTTGTGGTCGCTTTTTACCGGATTTCTAGTAGTGAAAGAAAAATCAATTGTCATGACCCTTCATTGACACCCTTTCCTTTCTTGCACCCAACCATCAAAATCCCGTCTTTTTAATCCTCTTAACCACTCTTCTCTGTCTTTATTGTTCCTATCGCTCGGAAACCCTCCTAAAAAATCCTTCAAACACTTTCTCAAAAGTTTTCCATGGTTAAACACTCCAAGAATCTGTCTGCCTCCACTAGAAAAAGTACTCGTTCCAAGGAAAACCCTCTTCTCAGCCCCCAGAACCAGTAGACCTAGGGTTTGACCACTCAGAAGGGTTTGCCTCTTCTCAGGTGGAACTATCAGACCACTCTCACCAAATAGGAGAAAAATCCCTAAGAAAAAGGCCTATGGAAGACTCCCATGAATCTCTTAACCCCAAGAAATCCAAAATAGACCTCTCGAATTCTCTAGAATCTGACCTCAATTTTTGGGATACCCCAAATAAAGATTTCTTTCTTGCTCTAAGCCCATTGCTCAAGGTAGAATAGTTGACCTTGACGATATTGATGCCCTCAAATGTAAGGTAAAAAATCTGTTTATTTTTTCAAGGATGGTCAAAATTCCTCTCTGTACCCCTTCCCAAAGTTTATGAACCTTTAGTGAGAATGTTTTATGCAAATCTTCGCTCTAACAAGCTTGATAAGTTGGAATTCTTAGTTTTAGGTAAACGCATTGTCCTTGATTGTGTCATGTTTGACTCAATTTTTTAGTGTAAGTGCTCCGGTTCCCTATGCTTTTCAAGAATACTTGGCCTGATGATTTTGAAATTTCTTTTGATCAAGCAAAACGCTATATTGTTGTGTGCCCATCTAATTTCCTTCCTAACCAATTAGGTCCCAGTGATGTTAGTTTTGAAACTCGTGTTCTGGCCCACATTGTCGCAACCACTCTTCTTCCTCGTATTGGATCATTCTCTACCTTCTCTCAACGAGATATCTTTCTTTTTTAGTGTCTTGTGACCAAAATCAAGGTTAAACTATCCTATTCGGTCATAAATTTCATGATTAAAAATGCTGATGATCCTACCAGTTTGCCCTATGGTATGACTATCACTCATATTTTGGAAGCCCACAACATTTCTATTCCATAATACCCTTTTGTCTCTGTTTCAAAATCCTACAATTCAAGAGCTTTTGCCAGTATGTGTTATGTTTGTGCAAAGGGTTCCTAGGTGAAGAAACAGGAAGGTGAAGTCAAGAACGTTCAGCCTGATCCCAAGATCAAAGCCTCTATTTTCCATCATAGTGTAAGTGATCCTGATCTTGTTGAGAAACCGACTGCCATTGACAACAAGTTGACCATCATCAAGGACCTTTTGCTGCAACTCAATCCACTATTGGAGATATCCATGCGATCTCCAAGGATAGTGGGTCTGATGTTTCAAATATGAGGGTTATAATTCTCAAACTTGGAGAAAATGCAGTCAAAGTGTTCAAGGAAGAACATGACAGGATTGATGGGGTGACAGTTTCAGCCAACGACAACTTTGAACGTCTGAAGTAGGCGATTTGCAATACTCTTGCTTACTTTTTGCGTCGCTAGTTGTGGAAGTTTCAAACAATTTTTGTTGTTATTTTGTTGTTTTGGACTGGATAACCAGTCGCTCGATACTTCTTTTTTTGCTAAAGTATGCATGCCTATAATGTTTGCTATAATGTCTATAATGTTTTCCTAGGATGTGACTGCCTTTACAGTTTGCTTTAGTTATTATATATGTATATCCCCTCTTTGCTGATGTCAAAAATGGGGAGTCGACTGAAGTATATTACAGTTCCTGTTGAGGGGGAGTCGACCAACTATGCAAATGCAGAGTCAACTAAAGTATATACAAGCACCTGCTAAGGGGGAGTCGACTGAAGTATGCAACATCCATTGAGGGGAGTCGACTACAGGGAAGTCAACAGTTGTTTATATATATTATTTTTGTTATCATCAAAAAGAGGGAGATTGTTAATTATAAGTTTCAATTATGAAAAATAATATATCACATTTGGTGCAGGAGTAAAAGGAATCAATTAAAGGATTCAAGTAACAATACCGGTCAAGAATAGATTAAGAAAATAATCTAGCAACGCAAGGAAAAGAATTAATGATTAGCGATGAGAAAGGAAGAACCAACAACAGAGATCCGAAAGAAGAACCAATCAGTGATTGACAGAAGTTATTACTGGAAGGTCCCAAATCAAAAGGAAACGAGATTGCAAAAGGATGCACTGAAAATCGATGAAACCAGAAATCAAGGGATCCAGCGGATATGCCTCAAGTAACAAAAAGATATGCCTAGCGGATGGAAAGCTCGTCAAGACCATAAATCAAGGAAGATCAACAGAAACTTGACTTTATTCTTGGAAAGAATCAATCTATGATTTCTTTCAAGAATCAACTCCCTTGGGTTTGCAATCTCTCAAGATTCACGTCATTCAAGAGTCAAGAAGGTCTCATGGAATGTATATATACATATGTTCTGGACTTGAAGAGAATATACTATGAACAAACCATTTTTACTCCTTTTGTTCTACTCCAAACAAGCATTGTAGTTCTTATAGATCCGCTGTGCAATTAGTGAGAGAAGAAAAAGAGATAAACAATGGTGAAACATTGTATAAAGAAGAGAAAAGAGACATAGAGATTAAGCCATTGGTGTAAAGCTACATCAACCATTCTGTATACTCAAGAAACTTCGATTAATGAAAGAGAACACCCTTGCAATCCAAGGGGACTGAATTAAGATTCACATTAAATTCAAACCAGTATAAAATTCTGGTGTCTTTATTTCCTGCATTTTATTTCTGCACTTACTATTATCATGCTCTTATTTCTAATCTACTAATTGGTAAACTAGTCGACTACTTATAATAAGTTTTTAAATAGTCTAAATAGTCAATTCACTAGTAATATATTGATAGTGAAATTCACCCCCATCGTATTTATAAGTAGTTTGTTTTTCCTCCTCAAACAGAATAGTCATTGCCCAAGGATGGGATGTCGGCCTCAGGATTCGTACGCAAACCCCCGGACATGAACAAAATAAAGACCCATGCACTTTTACCTGGATGAAAAACAGCACCATACAGCTACGGTAAAAAACCAACTATACAACCCACACTTCATGTACATACTATAGAGACCAAAAGAAGTAGAAGTAAAGAGGAAAAGCACTCTCCAAAAATGTACATGTGCAGGGTACAGAACCTAGAATTAAAGAGAAGACAGCGACGACAAAGGGAAAGAACATCATAAGTTGCAACACGGTAAGAGCAAATGTAGCACAAGTATATAAACTATTCTCTCCTGACTAGGTACATTCCTAAATCTCTTGTGGGATCTCGCGCTGCACATTTTGCTGCAAATAGTCAGGGCTTGCCGGCCTATCCTTATCGTGGTGCTGCTCCTCCACAGCAGTAGTAGTAGTGTCATGGGGATGCTCCTTTAAAGACTCAAACAACTCAACAATTCTAGTAACTGGCACTGATGTGTCTTGTTGCTGTTCCTTCACTGTCTCATCCGCCTCAATTCTGTCCATATTACCTGCGCGCATGAACAGATATAATGTATAGTTACAATTGAACATGTATATATATTTTTCAGGAAAATATACTTTAAGAAAAACCGACACATTTCTATATTTTGGAAACTATTTACCTTTGAATTTCTTATTTTATTTATAACTGCATAAATGTTATAGCATATTTAAATCACTATCTTTTAAAAACTTTATGATCACACCAATTCTATGGTATATTATATTTATGTCATAAAAATTGAAACTGAAAAGGTGAAGTATATACGTGAAAATTAATTACTAGAACTTCAACAAGTATCAAGTGCTGAACCAATAAATGCAAGAATTTAGTGATAAGAATATAAATATTGAACGTGTCAAATTAAATTTAAATCCACATCTAGTACCTGCCACTTCAGTGTCCAGCTGCTGCTGCTCATCCTTCGCTACAGTCTCGTCCGGCTGAATCATTTTATCCACACTGACCACCGGCTCATGATCAGTATCGCCGTAGTCTATGCCCGTTTTTCTTACGCCTTTAATTAGTGAACGATAGACCAGAACAAACGAAGACAATCCTGCAAAAGCCATAGTCCCAGCCACCCCAAAGCCTGCGATGGCGAATGCGAAAATACAAGCAGCACCAAACAACAGAGGACTAAATATCAAGAGCAGCGGAGAAGTTACGACCAGAATTATCAAAGAAGTCAGAAAGCTGAAACCCATCATCCCCAAAAGTGGGCCTTCTACTGCTATTCCAGCCAGTGTTGCCAGAATCAACGTCCTTCTGCTCACTTCCTGGGGATTTACAATATCCATCATTTGACCGTTTTCAGCCATACTCTTTTTTGTTTTATTATACTTCTCGATTCTTGTTGATTGCAGCGGCACCAATACTTCGACGGAAGGTAATTAATATATGATGCTCTCATCATATTTGAACAATAGCATGCAAAAGGATTTGAAACAGGACACGTGTCTGCTTCTTCCTATACGTGGTGCATATATAGCAAGTAGCCTCGTCCCTTTTGAACTTATCGCCCGCACTTGGACTTTATAGGTGCAAAGGTACAATTTTTGGGATAGGATTCTAAATCCAGTGTAGCTGACCAGAGCATACTTTGATTGCTTATCCCTGTAAGAATACGCAAATAGGCAGTAACATATAAAACAGGACAAAATTACATCACAAATCACTTGGCCTACGCAGGGCAGGCTCTAGCAGTGTATGGGGTAAGGCAATTGTTTGCCTTAGGCCCCTAATTTTGGGGGCCTCATTTTTTAATAAAAATAGCACGGTATAGCTAGTTTTCGGACTGGTCATTTAAAAATAGCCAACATTTACGAAGTCAATAAAAAATAGCTACTATTTTGTTGCAACAGAGACCGGTCCAGCATAATATACGGGAGTTCGGTGCACATGTGCATGAACTCCAGCATATTATGCTGGACCGGTATACTTTGATGATTCCAGTATAATATACTGGAGACTGGAGTACCGGTGCTCCAAACTCCAGTATATTATACTGGACAATTATACTTGTTGAAACTCCAGTATAATATGTTGGAGTTCAAGCATACTTATGCTGGAACTCCAGTATAATATACTGTCGTATTTTCTGGGTTTTGAACAGTGTGTTCGCTCAGATTTATCTTTACATGAAAAGTGGATAAATTTCGATTACTTTTGAAATGAGCTATTTTTGAACGACCAGTTGNGCTTGGACTAAAATAAATTAAAAGATAAATTAAAATTAAAGAATTTATTTAATAACCAATAAAAGAAAGATAAACATTACTTTTCAATGAAAATGAACATATTTTACTCCATAATAGTACGAAGGTTTACGTTTATCTATACTATATTAAAAGCACGAAGGCCATTAGTGAAATATTGTTCGCCTTTTCTACCCCTTTAAAATAGAATTCACAGTGAACAAAATATTCACATAATTATTTCCTAATATTTAACACTTTGAAATCAACTAAAACATTGTTCATTAGAATTTTCCTTATTTGATTTGTCACGTTAGAAGTCCTAATAATTAGGACACAAGAATCAAATAAGATTTACTTTTTATAAATATTTTACCTTTTTAATTAATGAGCTTTATTTTACCATAGTTCTGAATTGAGAATATTGCTTCTCTATAAGTATTTGTTCATTTATTTTTATTTGATATTAAATATCTTTCCCAATAATAACGAAAATTATTTTAAAAGTACAAAAGTATAGAAAGCAAGCTTTTTTTCTTATAAGAACAACGACGAAAACATTGTGTAATTTTTGTCCTTTTTATCAATTTGCCTCTTTATTTCCCTTTCAAACCAAAGTAATTGATATTCTCAAAATTTTAATGGGTAAGTTTTCATTTAACAACTAAATATATCTATTTTATTTGGTTTAAATGATAAAATTTCAGTCTAAATGTTGACAAATTTATCTAAAAAAGAAGAAATATACAGTTAAAATAAATAATTAGTACATCTAAAAGATATATAAAAAGAAACATTATGTAGTTTGTACTGCATTATTTTGCTTAAA